TACAAAGGATAGGTACTTCAAAAATGTTCGCTGAAAAATGATAGATGATATTAGATAAACAAAAATATTAAATTTGTATGGCAACTGTGGTAACCTAGGTGGTAATAAACTAACGCTAAATATTTCGTAAGTATTTTTAAGTATTTCCAGGTATCTTAGATATCAGTAAGAACTTTCTGTGTAGAACGCAAGAAATACAAAGTTTAGAGTGGGATGCCCCTAGTATACACGGAACCAAATTTTGTTCATTTAAGTTAAAAATATATATGTTTATTAAATAAAAATATGAATAGTTCAAAGTAAATTAAAAATACGTTTTCAACAAAAATATGTATGTTTAAATTAAATTCAAAAGCATGTTTATTTCAACAATACATAATCTGGGTAATCAATTTTTAGCGTGTCCTTTTTTCCTTCTTGTTTACATTCGGCAAACTTAACCGAAAACGGCCTGCAAGCGGCGAAACCAAAGTAGAGAGTCCGGAAACCAACGCAAGCAAGTGTTCCAAGCTCGACAAAACCGGTGGAACATCACAATATTAACGTCAATCCGTCGTTTCTGATGCCGATCCCCATATCATCCTCACCATCCACCCGACGTCGAAAGAAAAACAGATCATCCCCGAACACTAAACTTAGAAAGAGGCCGGTATGAGGACCAGCGTCAGAAACGAAAAATGACGCTAATATCACAAAGTTTCACCGGTTTGCTCCCCGGATCCAAACATCCACAGACTTTCCATAATAGCTGAAATTTCCATTTATTTGCTATCCATTTTATTTTGATTTATGCAGCATTCAAATGCTAAAATAATTTCAAAATATGTTTGTTTATTTTAAACTCGAAAAGCATGTTTAAAATAAACATATTAATTTTTGATCGCATATAGTTTCCAAATAAATCAAAAATATTCACGTTTATTTTCAACATGAATATTTTTAAAATAAACGTAACATTATTTTTGTTTTAAACATTATAATCAATGAATTCAAACATAGAATACGTTTGAAATCAACCAAGTTTATGTTTGTGGCCAGAACAAACTGAGTTTACGCTTAAATTTACCTCAAATATTTTTGTTTCGACGGTAAATTTTTCTGCGTGAATAGTGCACTTTTATTTGCATTATCGCCGTCACATGATCCAGTAGCAATCATCAGTTCTTCATCCAGAGACTAGTCCCATCTTTCGTACACGAATGATGGGTAATCATCCGGAAAAACCCTCGGTAACAACGTCCGAATGTTCATTATTCACCAGCTCCAGTCACACCAAAGATGAATACTAAGATGAAACTGTCGGAAGATAAACTTTCTATTTTAGTGTCCTCTTTCACGGTCCCTTTCATCCAATGAATACCCCCTGTATTCAAGGTAATTTTGTGGTTTTGCTGCCCCCTCGGTAGAGATGAAATTTTGCGCTCATTTTGATCAAAACAATGACACCAAAATCAGAGATGTCCTATTTTTTAAATACTCGATTAACAACTAATCGATTATTTTTTGTTCGCTGTGCTGCCATTTTTCCACCAATGAGAGTGCAGCACATGTTTGAAACGATCGGTGATGATCCTCTGGAAATGTTAATGCATATATCGGCATGATATTGACAAATCCAAGTTTCAATCGGCCACCGTGGCGCTGCAATCGCAGCGGTGATAAGTCCGAAATAATGCGTCAAACTGAATACATTTTTGAAATTTTAACCAAAAAACTATTATTTTGTATTTATTCTAGCGAGTTTCTCTGGGAGTCAAAACATGATCCGAGCAAAAAAGTAGTACTCGTAATAATGGTAATTAATTCAGAATTTTATCATGCTTTGTTTCGAAAATATCTTCCAAATAAACAAACATCATCCAGATCACACGATTCGTCCACCGACTAAATCTATTGCCACCTAAAAATTAATTTCAGTCGGTGTATTAATCAGCAGATTAAATCGTTTTTCGGCTGGTGTTACACCGAGTAATCGGCCTATTTAATAGTTTTTCGTCGATGGATTTAGTCGGCCAACTTTGTCTGCTGTTTAATCGGCAGATGATTTCAAACCTTAACATGTTTTCTGTAATTTAACTGTCTTGAAGTAGCTTTTTATTTAGGAACAATGCATTACAAAATAATTTTACGCATTTTGTACAAGTTTCAGCCATGCTGACAAGAAATTTGCATGAAATTACATTGAAATTAAACAATTTTGCAATCAATCAATGAAATTGTCAAGGGCTGTCACATACTTATCACCGTCGGTTAGTGCTTATTCCTGCTACCAGGCGCGCAGGAGTTTAAGTTGGATTTCTCAATAACCGATTACAAATATTTTACTTTTCGGTTCGTTAATCGATTAATCGATTATTCGAATGAAAATCGGTCATCACTAGATGAATGTGAAACGTCATTTCAAATATAAGGACCGTTCAAAAATAATGAAACAATTTGAAAGAGACCGGGGCTAATGACAAATTACGTCCCCACGGTAACTGAAATAAACACGATTGTTCACCGGTTGGTGTCACTCCGTTCAGATTTTGATCTCATCGGCCACTACCAGATCCTGTGAAATGGTCAGCGAAAAAACTACCGACCGATCATTGTCAGTCAACGGCACCGGTGGTGTAGTGGTAAGCGTGATTACCTCTCACCCCAGCAGGCCTGGGTTCAAAACCAGTCGGCGCCGCCGGGATGTTCTGAGGCATAACACCTCTGATCACGCCTTCCTTCGGATGGGAAGTAAAGCCGTTGGTCCCCGGTTCATGAGTTGATGGGTCGATAGGTAGGGTCCAGGTGTGGGAGCTGCCTTCCTGGCACGTCGGTAGCATTGGTGCTCAGCACGGAAAACAAGATCGACGGAAAAAACAAACCAAAGGAAAAAAAATCATTGTCAGTCAAACACAGACGCGTCGGTGACAGATGCTGTCAAATACAATTGACATTTCTATATTGCTGAAATAAACATGCTTTTGAATAATTCAAACATAAATATTTAAGTTTTAAACATTCAGCAAGTTGAAGTTTATTCAAAGTTAAATTTATTAATGAGTTGAAGTTTAATAAAACTAAGTTTAAGTTTAGTTAAAGATGAACTCAAGTTACATTAAAATTAAATCAAAGTTAGAAATTAGTGAAAGCTTAGCAAAGGTTTATTCACAGACAAACAGACATAACTCATCGAATATTTTTTTAATATAAAACATCGTCGCTAGAACACTACCGCCATCTGTTGAGTATACTGTGATGGACAGTACGCTGTAGTGTGTTAACGTCAAATACAAAGGAATTCTCTTCATCGATTTTCTCTTTGCATTGCTACAGCTAAGCGAAACAATTTTCTAGAATTTGTTCAATGCAGAGTAGTAACAGGTTGTATTGGCTATCAAAAGCAACAACAAACGCACCGAGAAACGTTAAATCTAGCGAGTTATTAACAAAAGAGAAAATCGTCCAAGAGCATCGATCATCACGTATAGGCCCTTATGCATGCTTACTGTGGAATTTGAGTTCACTCACTTGAGAAAAAGTGACACAAGCTGCGGGCAACGTTTACTAATCATGAACATTAAATGTTCATTATTCACTCTTTAATAAAGATAAAAAATAACATAACTTTGACTTAATTAGAATTCAACTTGATGTTGTATAACCGTACTTCAACTTAACCTTAACTAATTTTAAACTTATTAACTTAACTTAACTTTAACTTCAAATTAACATTAAATATATGTTAACTGAACATTACCTTAAATTTAACTTAATATTGACTTAATCTTAACTTAACAAAAACTTCCAAGTGAAGTGCAAATAAGTTTAAAGAAGTTCCATTAAGTTCCAAATAGTTCAAAAAAATAACATAACTTTGACTTAATTAGAATTCAACTTGATGTCGTATAACCCTACTTCAACTTAACCTTAACTAAACTTTAACTTATTAACTTAACTTAACTTTAACTTCAACTTAACATTAAATATATTTTAACTGAACATTACCTTAAATTTAACTTAATTTTGACTTAATGTTAACTTAACAAAAACTTCCAAGTGAAGTGCAAAGAAGTTTAAAGAAGTTCCATTAAGTTCTGATAGTTCAAAACCAATTTCAAGAAGTTCCAAAAGATTTCAAGAACTTCCATAAACTGAAGTTTCCCTGAAGTTTCCTGGAAATTTATCATATTTCCCTGAAAATAACTTGGATTTTACTTTAACATAACATTTACTGTAAATTAACTTAACTTTAACTTAAGTATCACCTAATTTTATAACACCGTTGACATAACTTAAATTTTAGTTTTACAAAGCTATCTTAACCGAGCTTAACTTTACCGAAACTTTAAATCAACTTTAACTCAAATTTAACTTCAACATATGTAACTTAACTTTAACATCCTTAATTTAAGTTTAACTAAATATTACCATATATTCAATTCAACTTTATCTTAACGGTAACTAAACCACAGACAAACATAAATAACACTCGCAAGTAGTTCATCGAACATGCATTTAACTATCATTTTAAATGTTTTAGTTGGCGCGCAACCTGTGGCGCGCATAGTCGAATTCATCGGTGCACTCGTCCATTGCGCTTGGGCCTTTAGGACCTAATGTAATGTTCAGATTGATTGATATGGATGCACGGACGATGATACCATCTCAAAATTGAGTTGAATTTGACTCAAAAGGCGAGTTTGGGGTTGTGGGGTTGTTTTTTTTCTACTTGAACAAAGCAAAACTTCACATAATCGGCGAGCTTCGCGCTGAATGACGTACGTGTTAGAAATTTATCTTTCATCTGAGTAGATGTTACGTTTCCTCTGAGTGAGTTTGATCGGCCGTGTAGCAAAATCGATCATCGAGGGTAAATTCTCCAATCCCTCTCGGCTTTCGTCGACAGTTTGAAATTTGAATTTATTTTTACCCTCGACCCTTTCTTTGGTCGCACTCATCTGCTCTTGGTTATGTTTTCCAGTTTCGCCTATCAGACTGTTTACAAAATAACTTCTCCCAATCGCTGCAAAAATTTGCATCCCAAAATGGATTTTGTAGTAGTTTTGTAAGATTTTCCTTTAATAGTTGCGTCTATTTGTGATATTTTGTAGATCAGAAGTGTTCGTGAGTGAATTCGATCGGGAATGGTTGTGGATTATCAGTGATTTTGTGGGTGGTTGAAATTGATGCAAAATGAAGCTCGTAACGGACGCTAGCTGTGATGCGTTGGAACCGGTCCGGATTGCCATTCGTGAGCGTCCGCCCAGTGGTAGTGACGATTTGGAGAACATCATTCAGCATCACAGTGCAAATGACCAGATTTTGATTGTCGATGAGCGGCCGTTTGCGTTCGATTATGTGTTTCGACCGGAGGCCACGCAGGGGCTGGTTTATGACTCGTTGATCCGCCCGTTGGTGGTGAAGATGATCAATGGGTTCTACTGTACGGCACTGGCCTACGGACAAACGGGCACGGGAAAGACGTACACGATGGGTCTGCAGTGGGATCACAGTGGACCGCACGATATAAATCGGGGCATGATAACGCGGGCGTTGGATCAAACGTTCGAGCTGCTGAAGGAATCCCGCGATCAGGAGGATTACGAGATTCAGGTGTCGTTTATTGAGATTTACAATGAGAAGATTTACGATTTGCTGTCGGATAGTTCAACGGAACCGGTGAATACACGGGGTCTTAAGTTCAATGGTGGAACGAAGAAGTTAGTCACTCGGGCGAATCAAGCCCAGGACATTCTGCTGGAAGGGAATAAAAATCGGCACGTACGACCAACGAAAATGAACACCCTGAGTTCGCGTTCGCATGCCATTTTCAGCATTCACGCTTCGGTGGCTCATGACGATGCAAGAATTGTATCGGCTTTACATTTGGTGGATCTGGCCGGATCGGAAGGCGTTCGTCGTACCGGACATCAAGGCGTGGCGCTGACCGAAGGTGTTCATATCAATCAGGGCCTGTTGAGCATCGGTAAAGTGTTGCAAGCACTTTCGATTGGAAGCAAAGTGATTCCGTACCGAGATAGCATTCTGAGCACGGTGCTGCAGGATTCGCTAAACTCCAACTCTTATCTGACACTGCTGGCCTGTATTAGCCCGATGCCGGAGGATCTCAGCGAAACGCTGTCGACGATTCGATTCGCCCAGGGGGCGAAAACGCTGAAAAACAATCCCCAGATCAATGCCATAGCGGCGGAACTTAAGGTGAGTTGGATTATTGTTCACTTTTGAATGAATAGAATGTTGTATTACAGGGTGGGTGAAATATCGATAGGTACATATATTAATTCTACAAGGTTTATGTTCGGTCTTTATCGCTCAAACAGTGCTGTTCAATACAAATACTGTTTCTTGGCTAACGCAACAGGAAGCCTTCTAAATATACCCCAAGCGAATCATATCTCGACAGCAACCGATCATCTTCTCCCGGTAGATTGCCTCGGTAGATTCCGATCGGAAGTTGTGCACTTCAACGGACACGTCCGCTCCGCTCTCCATCTTCTCTGCCATCTCTTCCAAATCGGGCACGTCTTCGCTCTTGGTGGTAATCACCGGCAGCAACATTACCGCCATCAACAGTCCAAAGCGACCGAAGCTTTGCAACTGTTCGTCGAGTGCCTTCCGTGGAAACAGTTTCTCCGGATCCGAGCCTAATCGCCGCAGGAACTCGGACAGGCTTTGATGGTAAACGTTCAGCAGGGCTTCGTAGTGCTGATCCCGGAATGCTTTGGTTGATGCAGTGAAGATAAAGTACATCAGATCCAGCACAGGGGAAGCGTATCGGCATATTTGCCAGTCCAGTAGGCGGATGTCCACGGGGATACCGTTCTGAAATCGAAGAGGGTATTAATTAAACTTGATAGGAAATACCTAGGATATTTGATAAACATCATACCTCATGCTTGAATAGCATATTATTATTCCAGCAATCTCCGTGGCAGATAACCGCATATGGCTCTGCGAGCTTGCCGGCCGTCAACTCCTTGATCATGTCGAAGAAATTCCCGTCCAGTGCTTTCTTTGTCTTCTCGTACACTTCTGGTTCGCTTTCCTGGTCCAGAGTTTCCATCGTCCTTGTAATCAGCATGCTGAACCATTGATCCATCGATGCATCATTTTCTTTTGTTGTAAATAGTTCCACCATGTCCTTGTACGGTGCTATCCGCTCCGGATGTTGATCCTTCAAAGCAAACGACAGCGCGTGAAGCCGACCCAACGTTTTCATCACCAGCTCAAAGTGTCCGAGCTTCTGCTCCTGGTGTCGATCGAACATCTCGAAGCCGAGATCTTTCAAATCGTCCATCAGGATCGCTTCCTCGAATTCTACCAAACAGGTCCGGTAGCAGTGTGGAATCTGAATAAACGCTTCCGATCCTTCGTCCGCCGCCAGGTTGATTCCTTTTTCGCGCTGAAGTTCTGCCATCATCGGGTAGATTTCCGTGTAGAAACTGATCTCCCGTTCGAAGCTGGGCCGCGCGAAAAACTGATTCCGCCGGGCTTCGTTCTGCGGGGGCAGCTTGACGATGATGTTCAGTTTCTTGCCCGTTCGGCGGCATTCGGCCTGGGCTCGGAAGACCACCCCGATGTAGTTGTCGCCTTTGTTGGAACCGGCCGCCAGGGCGATGGTAACGTCATCCGAGTCCAGCTCGGTGCGGACCAGCTCTTCGAGCAGTTCCTGGGACGATGCCATCGGCAGTTTGGCCAGACCGTCCTTTCCCTCGAGGCACATGATGACCTGCGGGGTAAAACGAGACAAAGATAGAAAACTAAGAGTTAGATTAAAACTTCTTCCTCTCGATTTTTCACGTGCTTCTTATAGGAGCGTTTTGCCGGCTCTTAACTGAAGCCCTTCCACAATTTTAATCGATGGCAACCATTGCATGAATTTGGGAATTGAACCAGCAACCTCCGGAATGGTAATACCGAAGAGGCAACTAGCCAGCAACGTGCTGAACTGTCCATATTCGCATAACAGCTCCAGGTCCTGTGGATTTCCTATTATAATTAAGTACATATTTTAACATCGGTTACAAAGTAAATATTTTACCCAGCCAGCCTTGTTGAAGAAATTTGCCTATTCATCCTCTTAAATAATTTCCTTTTTTTGCTACAACTCATCAGCGTTAAACGAGCTACCTACTTCCAATTTGTTTGTTTTATATCGGTAAAGTAATAATGATCTAACGATATCCACATTTTATACAGTTTTAAGCACCTGCGCTAATTATCACTACAGAAATACTCTTTGAAAGTTAGTACCTACTTACAATAGAAGTCTTATTCAAATATATGATTCAATATTTATCGTAGCAGACTACGACTACCTACTTCAATTCAATGATATTAAATCCACCACTAAATATGTAGCTAGGTATCTATAATTATTACGCAGTTCATCAAATGAGTTGTACACATTGCAGTTGGGCGGCACGTGCACATATCCAACTGCAGTGAACGTGTTTGAAATATCGCTTGTCATTAATTCCGGCAGTATGATGGAATTTATGCAAATCACTTTTGAACATCCAACCGCTGGATTGATAGTGCTTATCGTACCGTCAAGCGTGGTGACTTTCATCAAAGGTTATATTCGGAGGGATTCTCGGGATTCTAGGAGAAATAGGAAACTATCGTTTATCAGCTAGAACAGCTTTTTGGGAGAGTTCAAAGACCTCCTGTTAGATGATTAGAAGACTTCCAGCTTTCCGATCCCTAAGCGAGGCCCTTCAGGATACATTTTCCAAAAACCTTCACGCAAAACTGGTCACTCTCGATCTATACAAAGCCTACAACCAGGCATGGATCCCGAGAGTACTTGACCAGCTGTAGAAATGGGGACTCAAGGGACACATCCTAAAATTTATCCAGAACTTTTTGTGCAAACGTACCTTCCAAGTCACGCTTGGAAACTGCTGATCCAAAACATTCGAGGAGGAAACAGGGGTACCACAGGGGTCCGCGATCGCCGTTACCCTTTTCCTCATTCGGATGAACGATGTCTTGACACGGTTACCAGTTGGAATTTTCATTTTCGCCTACGCGGACGACATCGTCCTAATGGCTGTTAAGAAAACGGTGAAGGCACTTCGAAGAAAGCTTATTCAGGCCATCACCTACGTATCGGCATAGACCTCTTCGGCCGGCTTCCAGCTGTCCAGCGGATTCACCCACATCTGTCCGATAAAACACCAAGTCCTCAGCATCAAAGTCTGCATCAAAGAAGACCCAATTCCGTTTCGGAAAACGATCTGAATCCCCGGGGTCTGCTTTGACCGACATCTCACCTTTGACACACACTTTAACGATGTCAAAAACGGATGCGTATCAACCTACTCAAAACTCTAGCGGGACGACATCCAAATGCCAACCGAAGATCCCGACTGAACGTGGTGAAAGCCATCATCAACTCACGCCTAACCTACGGAATCGAAGCTACGTTCCTAGCCAAGCTCCGAATGATCGAAAAGCTAGCGCCGGTCTATCAACAATCTCTCCGAATCTGTTCGGGTCTTTTGCCAGGTACCCCCGGGATAGCTGCATGCATCGAAGAAGGACTGCACAATCAAACACCAATTCAGAGTAGGTGCCAATCCTTCAGCTCCAGAACCGGAAATACGGAGGATACACTGCGGGGTCTATGGTAACGTAAAAGCGGACCAACTAGCAAACTCAGGTCGTTGCATGGCCAAGTACACGCGAATTGTACCTGCTCCGGACCTTAAAAAAATGGGTATCAAAAATCACCAACGAAGGTTGGGCTCGCGATTTGGCGGTCAGTGAAACCCATTCCATCAGAAAAAATAAAAGAAACATCTGCAGGTGGGCTGACCCACCGTTACATCGAGAGGAGGTCATAGAATCCCGACTTCGAACACATCATACAAACATCTCCCACAACTACAAGGGAGACGGACCATTTCATAGGATCTGTGATCTATGCCGAATTCCACAAACGGTGGATCACATTATCTGCCACTGTCCGAAGTACATCACCACCATACCAGATCACACTCGGAAGACCAACGCAACGAAAACGGAACTCTCCAACCAAATTACTGTATTAAGACAGCCACTATGTTTCTAAGGGACCCCTTTTTGGAGCCCCACCCTCTTTTCGGAGGTTCCCTTCCAGGGCCACCAAATTAAAAACTCTGAATCTGGGACCCTACGCCCTTTTCGGAAATCCCTTCTGGGATCCAAACTATGTTGTTAGGGTAATTTCCCTCTGGAATTCCCACCCCGCTCAAATAAGGGAATCCCCATCTGGGATTCCCAGAGACGAATCAGCCCAAGGTTGAAAGTCTCTTTAGTAAAGAAAAAAAAAGCGTTTATATTATGTTCGGAAGAACATCCGGTGAAGGGGGAGGGCGAATCCTTTCCCTTTAAATTTAAATAATTCATTGAAAGCCGAAATTTTGAAAGTTCCCTTCCGCGGGATATAAAGTGACGTTACTAAAGTGAAGGATTATGGATTTTATAATATCTTCAAATATTATAATCTTCCTTAATGGAAAATATCACCTATATGACACTTCAGTAAGTATCAATGATTAATTGTTAGTTGTTAATAGAACTTCCTTGATTAAATCGGCTGCTTCACGCAGACTGAGCAATTCAAGCTGAACATTGCATTAGGTCCTAAGTAACATTGACAGATTCTCTTCGTCGACTTTCTCTTTGTATCTCCACGGCCATGCGGTGACATTTTCAGGTATTTTCAGTAGATCTGAAAAGAAGCTTTTATCTAGCATCTAATTTGACAAACACAATAAGAAACGGTTATGTGTTCAAGTTACTAACAAAAGAGAAAGTCAACGAAGAGAATCGAACAATGTTACTTAGAACCTAATGCAATGTTCAGTTTGATTTGTTCTGTAAATAGAGGAGCCGGGAGGGCTTATTAGAAATTTCTCAACAACAAATCATTGTGGCATACTTTAATTTTTCAAAAATTACGTTTTTCATAGAGAAATGCTAAAGCAGGCTACGCTTGTGTTAGTGAAAATCCGAAGAAAATACATAACAAATCGTTAGTGAGCATGCATAAGAGCTTAAACACGATGATCGATTCTCTTCGTCGATTTTCTCTTTTGTTAATAACTTGCTAGAATTAACGTTTCTCGGTGCGTTTGCTGTTGCTTTTGATAGCCAATACAACCTACCAAGTAACATTACAAGCTTTATAGAGGTTTTATAGCATTCTACAAGTCCAAATCATGGTCTACAGAACCCTAATAAAACCAAAATTGTTACTTGGGCCTGTCACAACTCTGCATTGAACAAATTCTAGAAAATTGTTTCGCTTAGCTGTAGCAATGCAAAGAGAAAATCGATGAATATAATCGATCATCGCGTATACGCCCTCATGCATGCTCACTGTCGAACTTTAAATGGCGATGCGCCCGCTAGTGTGCGTGCATTAAATTCGGAAGCCAAAATGTAAACGTTAATTTAATTTCACTGTATGTTCTCACCAAAAACACACGCTGAATGCTTTTAAACGATTCCTTAGTCCTGCAGCTGCAATATGATTAGATATTTACGGCTTAGCATTTTGCCAGATTTTTTCTTGGAATAAAACAGGTGCACCTAATAAAGAAGCTAATGCATTGTTCGGTTTGAATTGGTTGTGAATTAACATCGTGCCCTCTATAGTCGTATAAAGGGCGAACACGAAATTATTGTGACACATTCAACAGGGCATAACTTTTTTACCATTGGGTAAAAATCAACCAAATTTTGCACACTTTCTCATTGATGTGTATTGTGTACATGCTGTCAAACTCGAAGTCGTGTTTTTCGATTCAACGAAAATGGAGGTGAACCAACGCGAGTTGAGAGAACAAATTCTTTCCAAACACCTGGAATTTCCTGACCTGTCGCACCGGCAGTTGGGAAAAATGTTCAACATTCACCATTCAACCGTCTCCAGAGTGTTGAAGCGGTTCCAGGAGCGGTTGACGTTGGACCACGGCAAAGGAGCTGGAAGAAAACCGGGACCGGAGAACAAAAAGACGGAGGGAAAGGTGAAGTGGATGATTAAAGCAAATCCCAACGTCTCAAGCCGTGATTTGGCTAAAAAGATCGGCATGTCGCAGAGCTACGTCCAGAATGCAAAGAAGAGAGCTGGACTACATACATACAAGGTACAGAACTTCCTAAACCGCGATGAGCGGCAACAATCGACGGCTAAAACCCGGGCACGGAAGCTCTACGAGAAGATGCTGACAAAATATGGCTGCTGTGTGATGGAAGACGAAACGTATATAAAAGCCGATTTTAAGCAAATTCCGGGGTTGGAGTTTTTCACCGGCAAGAGCAAGTTCGATGTGGACGACAAATTTAAGAAGAAGAAAATGTCGAAGTTCGCCTCCAAATATCTCATTTGGCAGGCCATGCTCTTGCGGACTGAGGAGTGAGCCTTTCGTGACAAAGGGCACAGTAAATGGCGAGATCTACAAATCTGAGTGCCTCGAGAAGCGCCTTTTGCCGTTCTTGCAGCAGCACGACGAAGCTCCGCTATTTTGGCCAGATTTGGCATCATGCCACTATTCTAAAAGTGTCCTGGAGTGGTATGAGGCCAATTATGCCCATTTTGTTCCAAAGGACATGAATCCGCCAAACTGTCCGGAGCTGCGCCTGGTGGAGCAGTACTGGGCAATAATGAAGCGGGATCTTCGGAAGAGCAAGAAGACGAGAAGGACATGTTAAGAAAATGGAAAAAAAAACTGAGAAACTGGTACCGGATGACACTGTAAAGACTTTGATGG